TCAGCAGGACCAGCCACCAGTTGCGGGCCGCTCGCGCCGATAGACGATGGCAGATTCTTCACTTTCATCACTACTCACCAGGTGCGGGGAAAGGGACGGTGAGCTGTAAGTTTCGGAGAAAGCATGGCGCTGTTCTTGCTCTCGTTCCATCTGCTCAAGCAGCAAATTCCCGCTTGTCTGCCTTCTCCCCCAAGTTGCGCTGACTGCAGGAGCACGCACGCAGGGGCCATTTCAACCTGACCCCATCTATAGCCGCCCTCAGAGCAGTCAACACTCGACAGGCCCGTTAGGCAGCCGCCGCAGCAGCAACAGGAGTGCAGCGAAGTTAGGGGATGGGGAGGGGGGATGGTATGTATTAGGGAATTTGGGAGGGGATGGGTGGCTGAACAAGGGGCGGAGGGCACGGCGCATGACAAAAATGACGTCGCGACCTCTGGCGCGTCAGGCTTCGTCCGCCCACCGGAATTGGGGTCATTAATGCGAGACAGATGCGGTTAAGGAACTTCGTGGGCCGCCGCCACGACAGAAGAGGCATTCGATAGCTGTTTACCGGGGGCTCCGCGGGATTTTCTTTGTTCTTTGTTCTTCTCTCTCCTTCTCTCTCTCTTTTTTTGTCAATCCGTGTCTTGTCTTCGGGCAGATTTCTTCCCCGCTCTCACTCTCTCTGCAACCCCCGGACACGTCTCACGAGGGAGGTCGTGTCCAATGCGCGTCTCGAAAACAAATGGACCTCTCATGTTCCCTGAAGTTTGCGGGGGGATATGGGGAGATATACCGATATGAGAGCCTCCAGACACTGGCCGTCTTTGGCTCCGAGGGTTGGGTTGGGTTGGCTTATAAAAGATTGGATTGGGGCATATGAGACGTACCGCACATACCAGCGCATGCCTGAGCTACTCCCACTCATTACTCGGACGGTGCGGTGCTCCAGTCGGTAACTCCGGGGATGATATTATGGATAAACATATAGGCCTCCCTATATGCGATATATCGAGTCGCGAAGCGCAGCGAGGGCGTGGCCGGGAGGAAATCGGACAGGTTTAGCTACACATCCGGGCATAGCCCCCCACTCGCCGGCTGCCACTGCACCACCCCGCGTTCGACGTTTCCGCCGATTCGAGCCTCCCCCTTCCCCAAATATCATCGATACCCTGGCGGGAAACAGTGCTCATGCACTCGATGACAATTCGTTCCCTTACTCAGTGTGCCGGCATCGGTGGGGCTTGCTTTCCTCGGACGATAATCCGTCGACCGTTATCGATTGGACTCTGTGGCCGCCCACTCCCCCGCCGGACGTTCTCCGTAGGCGCCCCCCCAGAAGCTTGATGACATCCGATAACTGTGAACACATACGTAAAGCCACTTGACAAGGAGACAGGGCCTTGGCCAATGACAGGCGCGGCCAGGCAAATAGAGTCCTCAAAGGGGAGGTCGGGAGAGCCCCGAAGGACATGGTTTGGGAAGCGGTTCAGGACAATCAATCGCAAGGGCACGCAGTAGTCTGGCCTGGCCCGGCCCGGTCGATGTTCTTTGCGCTTTCCGGTCTCCGGAGTGCTTGGCCCAGTCTGCTGTTCCTTCTTGGAAAAAAAAGCCGTCACACGCCGCTTCTCTGATAACGATTCCTAGCTCAAGCCTCTGATTTCTCTTTCCACCCCTATCTCTTGCCAAATTTTGCACAGCACTTCCGTGGTACTGAAACCACGCCTGACGAGGATCATCGCGTGGAACCGTACGGATAGATCATATACAAGCGTCGTCATGAGGTTAACATCGCTACTGCTGGGCTGCTCGTCGGCCCTACTGGCCGCGGGCTGCGGCAGCCACGGCGACGACGGCAAGGAGTGGACCAAGGCCGAGCTGGACGAGTTGGAGGCGAAATGGGGTTTCGAGGTGAGTCTCGTCGGCCTATATGTGCTACTGGCGATAACAAGCGGGAGACTGACGAACGCCTGTAGTGGGGTGGGTCATCACTTTGAGCGAAACAGGTTTGGAGAGCGGCTTGGGCTCACCGGCGTGTAGGATTTACGGGTATTGGAGCCTTCGCCCACCTCAAGCACGCAAAGTGTCTGACGACGCCGTCCGAACTGTATGACATCGCAATCATTGGCGCCCCCTTTGACACGGCCGTCAGTTATAGGCCAGGTGAGTCAGGCCTGCTCACCTCCTTCAGATCCCAAAGACTCATCAGCACCCCCCTATTTCTCACACCGGAGATGTACTCTCATCCTTCTCCCTTCGCCGCGGCCACACGAGTGTCGGTCCAAGAACTAACGTTGATACCAGGCGCCCGCTTCGGGCCCCGCGCCATTCGCCAGGCCTCGAGCAGGCAGACGTCGTTCCGCGGCTTTAACCCACGCGCCAGCATCAACCCGTACGCCAACTGGGCGACGATTCTCGACTGCGGCGACATCCCCGTGACGCCCATGGACAACGTCGTCGCCCTCGAGCAGATGTCGGCGGCATTTAAGGAGCTCGGCGCGCGGCGGCCCGTGTCGTCATCGCTGAGTCGGCCCAAGCTGATCACGCTGGGCGGCGACCACAGCCTGGCGCTGCCGGCGCTGAGAGCGTTGAAGGAGGCCTACGGGGCGCCACTTCGGGTGCTGCATTTCGACGGTGAGTGATATAGTCTCCCGAGGTGTTGGACGAGGGGAGACGCGAAAGGAGATCAGGAAATGAAGTTTGGCGGGGGATCCGGGGGGGAGGGGGGGGGGGGGACAAACGACGACTGAATGGCTGACAATGGTGTAGCTCACCTGGACACCTGGCACCCGGCCAAGTACCCGTCGTACTGGACTTCGACGCAGTTCAACCACGGCTCCATGTTCTGGATGGCCGGAAATGAGGGCCTGCTATCCAACGCGTCGTCGCGGCCGTCGGTGCACGCGGGCCTGCGCACGCGGCTCTCGGGCACCGACTTCGCCGATCACGAGGACGACACGGCTCAGAACTGGATGCGCATCGCCGCCGACGACATTGACGAAATTGGCACGGCGGGCGTGGTACGGTCCATCATGGAGACCCTCGGCACCGAGGACCCGGTGTACCTGTCGGTTGATATCGACGTGCTGGACCCGGCCTTCGCGCCCGGCACCGGCACGCCCGAGCCCGGCGGCTGGACGACGCGCGAGCTGATCCGCATCCTGCGGGGCGTCGAGGGGCTCAACCTGGTCGGCGCAGACGTGGTAGAGGTGTCGCCGGCGTACCAGAACGCCGGTGAGGAGACGGCCCTGGCGGCGGCGCAGGTCGTGTATGAGATTCTCAGCTCAATGGTGAAGAAGGGGCTCGAGGGGATGGGCAAGGAGGGTAAGGCTGCTGCTGCTGCTGCTACTCCTGTAGATGGGGAGAAGGACGAGCTATGAAGATGAGCCTTGAAAAAGGGGAAAGTGGTGAAAAGGAGTGAAAGCTTCAGTGATGATCTCGGAAAGGGACTCTGTCTCCTTAAGGGTGGCGCAACGGCTTAGTTGCTCTCGAAGTGAGGATGGCAGGGAGGGGGGAGGGAGGGTCTTGGCGTTCAGAGTAAGGGGCCGGGGAAGTGCCCGACGGTACGAACGACGTTCTCAACGAAACATGTCAAAAGTCGGTAAACATGTATATCCGAGCTCTTGGATCAGTGGTGCCCTTTCTTGACGGTCGGACATCTCGGGATGGCAGTGTGTTACTCTCTCCTTTAACGAGTCACCTCATGGAATCGCCAGACTCAAAACACACGCAAAGAAACAAATATGATAACAACAGCCACGGTTCGTTTTTATGGACATGGAGAGATGAATCGGCTGGCTGCCTTGCATTGGTGGCGGGGGGTTCCGTGTTAAGCAATAAGACATATATCTGCCTTACAGAGTTTCACATCTCGACATGACGGACCGTCCTCATAGGGAACAGCGCGCCGACGGAGGCGTCCCAACGGAAACAGAACCGGCACCCGGCGGTAGGCATCAACCGCACCCGGCTGCGGGCGCTTCTCGTCGCCATGCATGTGGCTCGGGGCCCCTCGCCGAACAAGCTCTGCCGGCCGACGGCACGCTCCCTCCTCCCCCTTTCCAACACGAAGTCCACAGCAAGTCAGGGAGCGACAGACCAAACAAGGACCCTGCCAGACGAGCCCCTCCCCCCCAAACCTTTAAAAAGCCCTGCAACTCACCGCCTTGGATGGTACAGGTCCTCCTCCCCAGAAGACCTCACCGCAGTTTTCTCCCTTCTGCCCTGTCGCCAGTTCCGAGTCTCTCTCTCCCTCTCTCCTATCTTCGGAGCGAGCCGGGGGAGGGGTAGGTTAAGGCGGGTTTTTGGCAAGGGTAAATGTGATTTAAGAAATAGATGGGCCCGAGCTTCCCCAGGTCCTTATCTCTGAGCAATTGCAACGCTCAATTGGCAAGACCGGCCAGCCGGCCGGCCGGTGGTCTCTAGAGCAGCGCCCCCTTGCGCTTTCGTGGGCGGGCGACTGAGCGCCGCGGCCGGCATCCAAGTGTGTTGTGTGTCGTTCGTATCAAGGGGGTTGCACAAACTGGCCGTTACTTGTAACAAGCCCCAAACAGTTCCAAGGTGACTCACACGCCCGGCAGCTATCATCTAACTGGCTTTCAAAAGGAGGGAGCATCGTCCCCGGCATTGCATCAATTGACAGAAAACCGAATCCTTCTTTTGTTCTGTTGTCATATCATCTTCTTCCGGCGTAGGTCCTTCGTCTGGTTAGAGACCCATTCGGTGGTACTCTCTGTCTCTCTCCGTCTCGTAGTGACTCACAAAGCACAGTCACCACTTCCAGATACCCGGCCTCTCAGGTCACCCTCCGCCCGCCCCTCCTTGTCTGCACTGCACTGTGTTGCACTTTCCCACCAAAACAATCCGAAGAATCTACCCCGCCATCCAAACCGGCCCAAAAATTTCCCCTCCGCAGCATCACCACCACCGCCACGACTGAGTCAACAAACATCGTGTTCTTCCAGCCCGTGTCGGATCTTGTTGGTTGCCCAGATTGGGAAAGCCCGCACAAAACACAAAAAATGGCCGCCGTTCAGGAATTGGCCGAGCGCCTCAAGTCCGATGACAAGGTCTACGTCGACACCGACGCCGGCGTTGACGAGCCCACGACCGCGGGTACCGAGTCCTCCCCCTTCAAGTCGCTTGCCGCTGCGTACATCGCCAACAACGACTCCGTCACCTCGCGTCAGTTCCTCACCCGCGCCTCCAAGACGGGCGACGACGAGGCCGCGCGCCTTGAGTGGAAGGAGCCCGCAAAGAGTGCCGTGAAGAAGGCCCAGTCCGCCCTCGACGCCCACCGCAAGAAGCTGGCAAAGCAGGCCCAGATCGAGGCCAAGGAGGAGGAGCTGAAGAAGGCCCGCCAGCAGGCCCTCGAGGCCGCCAAGCTGGTCGTTATCAAGGAGGATGAGTCGCTTCCCCCGGCGAAACGCATCAACATTGGCGAGAAGAACGTCCAGCTCGGCGAGGGTGATAAGAAGGGAGACCGCGTCAAGATTGCGGGACGTATCCACAGGCTGCGTGCTCAGAAACAAGCCACCTTCATCACTCTGGTCGACGGCTACGGCCACCTCCAGTGCGTGCTCCAGGCCGGCGACCTGACCAAGACGTACGATGCCCTCACCTTCGCCCAGGGCACCTCTCTCTGGGTGTACGGCGAGCTGAAGAAGGTTCCCGAGGGCCAGACGGCCCCCGACAACCGTGAACTCCACGTCGATTACTACAAGGTCATTGGTACCTCGCCCACTGACGAGGATGCCATCACCAACAAGGTATCGCTGCTGCAGAACCAGTGGGACTCGCAGATGCTGGACAACCGCCACCTGGTCCTCCGCGGCGACAACGCCTCCGCCATCATGAAAATCCGTGCTGCCGTCGAGTGGGCCTTCTGCAAGACTTACAAGGACCTCAAGATCACAAAGGTGTCGCCTCCGGCTCTGGTCCAGACCCAGGTCGAGGGTGGTGCCACGCTCTTCTCCGTCCCCTACTACGACGAGGCCGCCTACCTCACCCAGTCCTCTCAGCTGTACCTCGAGACCGTCCTTCCCAGCCTTGGCAGCGTCTACTGTATCGAGAAGTCCTTCCGTGCCGAGCGCAGCTTGACCCGCAGGCATCTTGCCGAGTACACCCATGTCGAGGCCGAGCTCGACTTCATCGAGTTCCCCGACCTGCTCGAGCATCTCGAGGAGGTCATGTGCCGCGTCATCGACAACGTCTTGGCCGACGAAGAAATCGCTGCCTTCATCAAGGAGCTCAACCCCGACTTCAAGAAGCCGGTCCGCCCCTTCATGCGCATGAAGTACACCGACGCCATCGACTGGCTCAACGCCCAGGACCCCCCCATCCTCAACGAGGATGGCGAGCCGCACAAGTTTGGCGACGACATCGCCGAGGCTGCTGAGCGCAAGATGACGGATGCCATCAACAAGCCCATCTTCCTCACTCACTTCCCTACCGAGATCAAGGCTTTCTACATGAAGAAGGACCCCAACGACCCGCGCGTCACCGAGAGCGTCGACTGCCTCATGCCCGGCGTCGGAGAGATTGTCGGTGGTTCCATGAGAATGGAGGGCTACGAGGAGCTCATGGCCGCCTACGATAGAGAGGGTATCCCGTCCAAGGACTACTACTGGTACACCGACCAGCGAAAGTGAGTTTCCCCTTCTTCTTCTTCTTCCTCCACCGACTTGTGACCACTGCTGACAATGTGTCTTCCCAGGTACGGCACCTCCCCCCACGGCGGCTACGGTCTCGGTCTCGAGCGCTTCTTGGCCTGGCTGGCCAACCAGCACACCGTTCGCACAACGTGCCTGTACCCTCGCTACATGGGACGCTGCAAGCCTTGAAGAGGTGGCCGTTGATGTGTAGAGTCTGTGTTGCTAGGTAGAGGGAAACGAATTACGCCCAGCGTGCATTGCAAGCGCTGCGGCGAGGCATGAGCAAGATCATTCAGGGTTTTCAGGGGCTTTGCAACGGTTCTGGCAGCGGTTTGCTGCGAGGGTATCAGAGACGGGTCGGGGGTCCTAGATAGGAGTTACGGAATTCAACCCATCCCCATCAGAGTTGCTGACTCTGGGAAACGAGAATCATTCAGCCAGTACGTGTGACGAAGGAGCATCGATGAGAGGAACGATGAGGTGCCAACAGGGCTCCCTTCTATAAACGCTTCCCAAAGAATCTGGTCAGAGCTGGTCTCGGCCGGGTAGCAGCATAGGTAGTATGCTTGGAGACCGACAGCATTGCGGGGGGGCCGAAGACGTATCCATATGGGGGTTTTGCGGGACTTGCGTCCGTGATATCCAGCCGTTGAGACGTCAAAGCCTAAGAAAGAACAAAGAGAGAGAGAAAAAAAGAAGAAAAAAGTGAGACAGTAAGCACAACCTGGACCGAGCACATGGAATAAACAGGTGTACGGAACGGCAGCCATGTCGTGGTTGGACTCGTCCCTGGGGCCCATGGCGGATTCGTACACTATGACAGTGGCCGTTGGTAGGCAGAGAGTCGGTCCGTGGTGGGCTGGTACGTTCGCGCACCAAGTGGCGTTATCTGATGCCTACCTAGCGGACCGGGACCCGACCGAACAGGTGTTGGCGAGGAAAAGCTGCCAATTGGGGGCCGATCGGCCGTCCGAGTTGCAGCCCTGAGTTCGGAGGTCTGCCAGAAAAAAAAAAGAGCTTTCAGCTCCTGCTTGCTCGGCCGATCTTGGGTTTTGACCGTCCACATCAGACCTCCTTCTAGAACGTCTTGGCGCCCTCCATCTCGGGCCGTATCTGGTTGATGACGCCCTCCTCCCCTCCCCCACACACCCTTGCAAGCCCAAGGAGGAAGAACGCCTTGCGAGTCGGTGGTTGAATTCTTAATGTTTGGCTAGAACCAATGATCCTCCATCACAAAGGTGGTGTCAGTGCTTGTGTGTTGCGGGCGAAGTCTATTTGCCCCTTGGGTTTGACCTTTGGAGAGGAAGGGGGAGGGAGGGTTGTCTCAAACACACTCGTCGAACCCCGTCCGAGAGGCAACTCAACCCGAGGCTGTGGCTCACTAACGTATGTACATGAGGACTGGTGCGAGGTGCGTCCACCTCCATTGCACTCCCAGGTGAAGGCGGCAGCCAGACTACGTCTACATTACCAACTCATCGACTGTTCCCGAGAGACGGGAAGGACGACGGTCAGCAATTGGCGGAGGCACGAGAGGACCGACCGACCGAGCGGCGAAGCTGCCTTACTGTGCAGTGATTCACCAGGATGCAGCCAATTGATCAGATGGTGGGGGTAACCTACCTACTGTAGGTTCGGCGTCTGGCAATGCGAGGCGACAATCAATAGGGATGCCGGATGTTGGTTGAGCAAGTTGAAAGGTGTTGGTTAGCAGGCAGCCAGGGTCTTGACTCAAGGGAAATTTCCAGACCCTTTCAACGGCGTGGCGTGAGTTGTCTGTGGCGGAAAATACAGACCAGGGAGTTTGCCCGGAAAAGGGACGCATTCTTGCCAGGTCGAAGAGAGACATGATGTGGCCTGTTGGTGATTCGACGTAAGAATCGATTGGATGAATAATGACCTGATGCAAGGCGGACCCAATGCACCGTCACGGATCGGGCGCCGCATATCGTGTGGTGGGCGGGCGATGACAGTGCGCGGTACGTAGCGAGGGGGGCCCCCAACTTCCATACCAGCCATTGTGTTCGGGATTCTAGACCAGCGGCGGTACTGGCCACATGCGTGGGTGCTACAACGCACACCGCGGCTATGTAAGGCACAGAAGACCGAGCTCGTTGTTTACCGCAGGAGGTGTGGATTTGCAACCCCGTGTTTGACAAGTCTTGGATAGCGCCGAAAGCGTGTCCCCTTATGGTGGCAGTGTAGATGAGATGATGACGACCCCAACCAACGGCATGGCGGCGGTTTATCCCACGGCTATATGGCAGCGGTGGTGGGTTTTCAGGCGACGCAAGTGAATAATGACGCACCCGTCGGGTAGCGGTGAGTCTGGTCAGGGACGATCGTGTGCGGTTCCGGTCAGCTAGATGGTTCAGCATCCGGCCGCTCCTTGGCAACGCTTGGTGCCAAGGAGTTTCGAGGTCTGGTTTCGACTTCTCTCTTTGTTACTGTTATTGCCGGCCCAAGTTGAAATTGACTGTGAGATGTTTGATCAATGGCTGGGAGTTGATGATGGCTCAGCCACAGGCGATCGTGCAAGCCATGTTGCAACATTTCATTTCATTCGACGTGGTTCTCTTGTTGACCCAAAGTTCCCGTGATAGCCTGGGCTTCTCTCTCTCTCTCTCTTCTCTCTCTTTCTTTGTTTTTGTTTTTGTTCTTATTTTTATTTGTTTAACGAACCGAGGCTCCTTGCAGCCCGTGTTTCATCCGAATAGCTCGACAGGTGTGGAGGCTTGGGGGAAGTATGTCCTGACATCTTGGGACACGGATACAGCAGCCGCACTGTACATAAAGAACAGCAGCAACCCCCCGACAGCAGAGCCGCGGGCATTGGCGTGGTCCCGTGCATCGTGACCTGTGTGGCACTGCAGGACGGACGAGGCGAGGAATGGCGTCCCCTGCATCGTGCAACAAACCCGCCACCGTTTGTGTAAAGCAGTCCTGGCAGAGTAGTCCCTCGGGTTCACTCTCCGAAACACGCCGCGGGGATAAGGCGGCAAAGCCTATTGAGCGAGACGGCACGACGACGGCTTTTGGCCATTCGAGACGTGAAGTCAGGCTGTGCATGTCAGCCTTGTGAGATGCGGCGAAGCGAGAAAGCGACAAACAGGGTGGTATTCCAAGAGGGTGGTGTAGGTGCAGCTGGTTTAATTTCACAATCCTTCATCGGCATGATCGGATTCCTTGTGAGACAGGGAGGCTGTAAGTACACTATGTACGGATAGTGAGGGGCCGATGCATCCAATATGGGGAAACCGACTGAGCGTAAAGGAGAGCGACGGGTTGGTCCGGGGCATGCCACGATAGCGTCCAGGATGCTGCCCAGATCCAGATACGCAGTAGTGCAGGCAGTAGAGCGTCGTGATCGGACATGGTCCTTGAGTAAAGCCACACGGATACGTCGAGGTGATGGTCAAACCCGTAAGGCAGATTGGCCAACGGCCGTCCGAGGGATTGAGTATGTCCGAGAGGCTCATTGTTTCGCAACGGGGTTGTACAGACGTCAGTTGTAGAGAACAAAGTGCAAACCGGAGCAAAGGAGTATTTGCTCATGCCCACGCCTGTGCTGAAGCGGTGGGGCCGGTGTAGGAGCAGATATTCTGGCAAAGGCGGCTGTCTGCAGGGTTGGGTGGGGATGAAGATGAACCCTTGGAGGATGGGATCGGGTAGACTGGTATTCGGAAGGACACTAGCCAAGTCAGGGCAGGTGGTGCCTTTCCCGAGCTATGCTTGGTGGGGGCAAGGGGAGGAAAGGTAGGGATGAATGGCTGGAAGGGGCCAGGTTCCAGGAGGGGGCCGGCCGGCACAGAGGAGAAGTGAGTATGAGACGTACCGCCGAGCGGAGTCTGTAGTCAAGGCGACCATTGGGGGGGATACCTGACCTGACCTGACCATTAGTGGGGCAAAGGTACCGTGCACGCACTAAGCCAAGTAGGGTTAGTGGGTAGGGTCGGCTAGGGGTCGGTTAGGGTTGGGGTTAGGATTCGAGTTAGGGATTGGTTCGGGTAATGGAATATTGTATTAATCCGGGCACGCCCACACCCTGGTCAGGTTATCAGCAATGGTCAGGTCAGGTCAGATACCCCCCGCAATGGTCGCCTTACATGTAGTCTCCCGCTGAGCGGGCAGTGGTTGCAGTGTACTGCACGATACTACTCAGTAGATACAGGATGGCAGGGGGAAGTTAATGACCCCTATGATGTTACCCCCCACAGCTGATATCATAATAGGGGGGGAATATTCACCAAAAGTGAAGTCCTGTAGTAGGGGGGTAAACGTTAGTTACCTAACAGGGGTCATAAACTTCGGCCGGATACCATCGTATGTGGTAAGGCCGGGGGGTAAAAAGAAATGAACAGGGGGAGGGAATCTGCTCGCGGAGGAGTACATAGTGTATACCAAATCCCCCCCGGTCTAGTAGTACGGAGTACTGTCTATTGAAATGCAATATCCGCCTCTTGGCTCTGCAAGAGCGCACCGAACCGCTCACGCTCTGTCCTCTCTATCCGTATAGGTCGCAACTATGAGACGGGTTTGTCCACGAGTTCCAGCATCGGCCTTGAGGATACAGAACTGTCAAGGCGTCTTGACGATGGATATTACGCAGCAACGGCTGGAGTAGACGGTATATTGGCCCTGCTGTGCAATTGCGTCGGAACCGAAGCGAGGTTCTCTTCCATCGAATGTTAAGAATGGGTGAGAGCAGATCCAGGGGTGAGCAGAGTGGAAGGTAGGGGCAGAGTAAGAAAGAAATAGGGGACCAAACAGGGGTGGGACGAGGAGGCTGTTCATGTGGATAGGACTAAGAAATCGGGGTGTTGCATGGCTGATGCCAACCGACGGGTGGAGGACGGGTTTGAATAGGGGACGAAGATCTGGTGTTTGGTACCTACCTAGCACCCGGGTGACAAAAAACAGCGCCGGTTTTTTGGTGCTCTGGGTGTGGCCCGACCGGCGCTGTTTTTTGTCACCCGGGTGCCTAGGCACCTAGGTTGATTGATTGATTGAAGACATGGCACTTCTCGGTTCGCCACGTCTGAATGGAGCAAGAGTGGACAAATGTCGGCAATACCGAGGTTGTGCGTACTGCGATGCTCGACCTGGAATAGCATGAGGCGAGTCTGAAGAGGCAAGGTAACCCGTTTCTGACTCAAGGACGTAAAACTATCACGCTCTACACTACACTA